TTGTGTTTTCTGAGTTTTCTGAGTGGCCAAGGCACAGCTGCCATCTGTGTTTTGCTTTTTTTCTTCTCTCTACAGAGTCCTTTCACTGCTCTGGAAACTTTGGTGATCTCAGAGAGATATTGATTGCCTCCAGTCCGAGAGGGGCAACCCCACTGGGCTTCACTGCCTTCTCAGTTATACTGGCTGTGTGTCTGAAAGCACAGGCCATGTTCGGTAAATAGGAGAAATCACACAGATAAACATGGTGTAGAGCCATATACACTGCGTGTGAAACAAATTAAACTGTTCAAGCCATCAACTCCCATGCTGGTGTCTTTATAGAGGAGCCCTAGTAAATAAATACAAAACAGCAACCCATCATCCAGCGTTGTAGTATAATCGCACAGTTCATCTTTTAGTGGTGCAATGGAAGCAAACGCAAACCTCGTTTCTTTTTCCATCAATAATGCTTAATATGGATGTTTTGCCCTGGAGTTCACTTATAATACATTAAGGTAAGAGCATATCGGAAAATCCATGTTAGGTTTCATACAGTAAATTAGATTTCAAGGCTGATTGTATTTAAATCTCAATACTACTACATCTGCTGTCCTCCGCTTACAAAACACAAAACTGAGGCCTTGCACATTCATGATGTGCAGCCTGACGTGGCAAAAAAAAATCTTGCCACATTCAGTCATCTCACCTCTAAGAGATCTCCACTACCTGACCACTCCCCACTCCTTCTGAAATGACTTGTCAGAAGCACGAGCGTAGAGATAAAGATTTGGTGTAAGAACTCAAGATTACAGAGACGGCGAGGGGATCACACACGTACATGTTTGCAGTGAGAAAGAGTTTTGCGTGCGGCTGTGTGTGATGGCAAAATAACGGCAGGGGAAGAAGACAGATTGATGTGGGGAGGAGGAGAGGAATGGAGGGGAGCATTGTGAGCTTCTCATCTCATCCTACGTCCCTCCTGATGCCGTCTGCCGCAGCGAGCATTAAGCTTATGGAAGGTATTTGTTGTCTTGTCATTCTCTAACCTTCCCCGCAAGCATCAATGAGTTATTCAGATCTCCCCCCCCGATCCCCCCAGCTCTCACAACTAAACACAGAAAGCAAAATGGCACATTACTCATCACATATTATTTTCCATTCATTATGTCTTCAGCCTAGGTTTGTATTCACGTTTCTTTTGTTTTTAGATGGGCTGTTTGTAGGAAATAAAAAGGGGTTGCATGAACGTCTGACAACTGTGAGGTTTGACTGATTTTAGTAATCACGACTCCTCTGCTTGGCTATGATCCATATGCTCCCACCACAGCACCAATGCATAACCAGTTCATCATGGCTTAACCCCTCAACAGTCAAAAATTGGACTCCCAGCCATAAGGAAACCCACCATATGGAAGCATTACAAGATCATAACATTCTTCGCTCTGGAAGTTGATACAGAGTGAAGACTGAAAGTTAGCTATTTTTGGTAAATGTCTATCATTTAACACCTTTAGAGTTAGGATAAGGGTTTGTATTTGTTAAGGAACATCTACAGAAATTGTGGTGTAGCACTGCTCACTGAGCAAATCATAAATTTGCTAAAACAGATGCTACAAGCATCCTAAAATGTAAAATTCATAATTTTCTCCCTTTTAAAGTAGCAATATCCTGTTTTACTACAAATCCCATCTCTTTTCCCCCCAATATAAATACTAACCACTCTGACTAAGTGGTCCAGAATACTATCTTTTTGTAGTTCCTAAAAAGGAAGTCAAAAATATTAAAAATTGTAGTCTGCTAATCAGAGCTTTCCAAGAAAGGTGCATCTCTACCTCAAACATTTTGAGATCTACAGGTGCGTGCCAGTATGTCAAAAACAACATCATGGAAGAGTTATTTTAGAAATTTGATTCAAAAACTGATTCTCATACATGTTCAGGACACACACAGTGATGTAACCCATTATTTGTCCATTTGTTCTCTACCATACCATTTACTTCCACTCAACTTTCCATTAAAGTCCTTAAGCGCTAGCTTCTTTAGCCATAGCCTTTCAGTAGCTAATCCTCCTAGTGTGTCAAAACAGCAGTCCCACTGTGTTTGTGTGTAGAGGTTAGCAGGCTATCAAATTTCTTTATTAAATATTTTAAATTGATCTTGAGTAAATTTCATGCATTCTATGTAATAACATTTTAGGTTGTCATTCAAGTTAACGGCAATATTTCACAGGATCTACTTGAATAGTTAACAGTGGTGACAGTTCAACACACCTTGGGGCCCCCCTGCTGGTCTATGCGCTGAAAGCAGCAGCGTAGTTTGCTTGTGCCTCAGGCTGGCTCAGCCTAGAGGACATGTGCCATTGGCAGGTTTCCCCTCACGGGATAGGAGCTTTACATGTTTTGAGATCTGATTTAGCTTTGGCACCGAAAATGGTCCCAAAACCTTGAAAATGTCTTCTTCCCTTCTTTCTCCATATCATGCAATAACAATTAAAAGTTCATTTTGAAACTCGGAAGGGTGTAGCAAATGATCTCCTCCTTTTAATGCATGCATCAAGCATAACAACCTGTCCTCATTCTAATTAGGGGAGGACAAATAGGCTCACGGTGTTTTTGCTGCCCTGGGTTGGCAGAGGCGGCGGGCTCTAATAGTGCCCCGCTCTAATAGTGCCCCGAAATCCGATTCCGCGCTCCAAGGGAGCTCCTCTCCCTTATGGGCTGTCAATAACCCTCCACTGACCTTGTGAAAACACATTGACTATTCCCCAAAGTGAGCTTGCCTGACTGTAACACAACGCACGTCCGCTTCTGTCTCAATTCATCCGAGCGGGGAGACAGCCTAAACGGCTCAGGAGGGGTGTTCAAATCAAGAAGGCGTCCGTATGCCAAGTTTCGGAGGATGTCCAGACATCAGCGTACATGCGTACAGCCCTGAGCTCTACATGAAGACGAAGTATGCCGAAGACGCAGCCAAGATGCGCAAACAGTTATCGCCCACAGTGATGATGATTTTTTTTTTTTTTTTTTACTACTTCCAAAATGTACCAGTTTCTATGTAAACGTTAACATTCCCGCTAAACGGGATTTATGATTGCATGATAATGCGGGAGGCTTTAGACAGTGTGACAAGAGCAGAAGCTCATCTGCAGCCATGTCCTGTAACAACGTCTCCACGGTGCAGAGATTCGCCCGTGAGGCAAATCCACCACCAAATCCAGCGTGGTAACATTGCACCAAGCAGATGCACCACTCCTCGGAAACAGGGCACAGGGAGGCGCAAACACGGATACATTCATACATACCTGGTTTTTATGCCGAGTTCCATCTTCGAGTTCAGAAGAGCTATTCATGATTCCCCATCGGTCATTTACCATCCCACGGAGAAGGTGCGCATCAGATCCGTCTTTCTTCTTTCCGGGCGTCAGAGAATAAACCCACTTTATTTTATTATTATTTTTTCTTTCACATTAATATGTACCTGTCAAAGTCAATACCTGGTATTCAAGCCTACTCCATGGGAAAAAGGGGGGGAAAAAATGAAGAAAATAAGGATTGTAAGTTCTTCAGCCGCAAATTGCGCACCAAAATGAGATTTAAATTCCTCCCCGGAGTTTCCTCAGCGTCCGTTCATAATTCCATCTCAGTAGGGTAACACACGTGTTTTATTTGAAGGCTGCAGTCATTTTTTTTTCCTTTCACTTGCTTCCCATATGCATCAAGATTGCGAAGAAAATAAACCAAGAAACCTACAAATGATCCCAAGAGTAGGAGCACAGTATCTTTTTTTTTCTCTACTCCAAAAAAAAAAATATATATATATATATGTTTTGTCCGTCCACTTCGTAAGAAGAGAGTTAAGGTTGACCAAGTTGGAGTGCGTTTATTTTAAGTGAATTTGGATGAAGTCGTAAAGCAGCTGTGTCCTCTTCCCTCCCCCCCTTCTCCTACTTGTTTACGCGTCGGAAAAGGTTTTATGCCAAACCCGCTGGTGGATAGAGCCTCCCGTAGCCCATTTGCGCCAGTTGGATCACAGAGAAGCCTTTGACAAGACGGGTGTGAGGAGGGGAGATTAGAGTGCTCCTCTCCGCCAGTGAGCCGAGCGGGGCGCTCCGTTCCTCTCCGGCTGTCAGTTAGCGGCTCCCTTCCGTATGCGCGGCGCGCTCCAAGGCTGCGTCTTCTTCCCTTGTACCGCCCTGCCCTCGATTGCTGTACCACTGACTCACCGCCTTCTCTTCCACTCCACACCGCACCGATCCGCACCGTGGACCCTCCTATTCCACCGCAGCAGCAAGATCATGAGGAATCTATGCGTAAAGTGTAAACTGACCACCACGGACAGCGATTAAAAAAAAAAAAAAAGTTGCTTGTTTGGATTTCTGTCGAGATTCGGACTTTGTTAGGTGGATGAGCTGTCACCGTAGCCCACAATTTGAAACGTCTGCCTCTAAAAGCGGGAGGGTTTAATGGAGCCCTCATAGAGGGGTGTGGGGGGGGGTACTAAAACATAAGTCTGCCTAAATTATCTCACACTACCACTTTAAACCATTCCCATCTCCCTATGCAAGTGCATCTCAGTACTTTTAAACATAATCAAAAAGTTAATTTATTTCAGGAAATGCACCTTATACACATTATACTGTTACAAATGTTAGAATTCAAGCATTTATCTCTGATCATTTTTAGAGGAAATATATATATGTTTGTTTGTTTTGTTTTTTCAGAAAATCAAACATTACATAAGACTAATAAAGAGATGGAGAGTTCTAGTCATGTTAGCCTGAAAAATTAATGGATACATGCAAGTTGTGAGCCATAAAAAGGCTGCAGACTGCTGTATGCATGCAGGCATATTGGTAGAAAGCAGAGCAGAAAATAAAGTGTGGTAGAAATAAGGGGGGACAACAAGCCTTAGAAGTATTGTGAAGCAAATCCTATACAACACATGAAAGGTGGACAACATCCAGAAGACAGGCCAGAACAATTCCTCAGTTAAGCCACTTCAAAACCAGAAACAATGTCACAAACGTCTTACCTGGTCCAGTGAGAAAAAGGAATGGGCCATCGATTCGTCTTTTCAGGCGAATGCTTTGCATTTCAATTACGAATCAAGGTCCCAGAGCCTGGAAGAAGAGTGGACAGGCATATAATTCAAGTTGCTTGAGGTTCAGTGTGAACTTTCTGCAATGGTGATTTGGGGTGCCATAGCATTTACCACTGTTGGACCACTGTATTTAATAAAATTCAAAGTAAGAGCAGCTTACATTAGATCACTTCTTGCTTCCCTGTGCTGACAAGCTATGGGAGTGCTTATTTTATTTTCTAGCAGGACTTGGGTGTCTTCCCACACTGTCAAAACCACCAAGTTTTTTCAGCGGTGCTCACGTCCAGTCCTTGAGAGCTGCCATCCTGCAACTTTCAGATGAATCCCTGCTTCAACACACCTGAATCAAATGAATGGCTCATTAGCAGGTCTGTTCAGAGTTTTTTTTCTTTAAATATGATTTCAGAGTGACCATTAGTAAGCACTAATACTACACATGCAACTTTGTAAAAGCATTGATTTAAGGTACACATCGATATCTAGCATATCCATGTGTGCACTTTACCAATAAAACTCATTCATGTTGCTGGAACCATTTTGACTGCATATATATTTTCCATTTATGTAACTTGGGTAATAATGCACATGATGGAACATACTTTATTCTTCTGGAAATTCACCGTTTTTCATTTTGGTTTTGGAAGACCCAACACCAACAGGATGTAGACAGGATGTTGACTGAATTAGAATGAAAAAAGACGAACTTACACCAACGGGTCACGATAGAACTGATGTCTGCTGAAAGAGGACTTACAGAAGAACCTAACAGGTGGATCCAGCGCTACAGAGAGTCAACTGAGGGAGACTCTACTTCTTCTTCTTCTTTTCTATTATGGCGGATCGCAAGCCACCTACTGAGGGAGACTAGGGAGAAATTACATATTAAATACTAACGAGAAAATACTGGAAATTGGAAACATGCTATTAACCAACTTACTCTGAAAAAACTCGGGATAACAATGACAGAACACAACAACACAATAAAATCCACTAAACTAAAAAAAAAAGGCAAAACAAAAAAAAGAGGAGCACAGAGATCAATATTCAGTATTGCCCTTTAATAAATGAATAACTTTAGAGGGAAAATAAAGGTGATCATGCATAATGTGGCCTACTTCATTTTGAATAATTTGTACTTAGCTTTGTTGTTTAGGTGAGTGTACCGAATAGAAAGACAGAGGATAAAATCAGCTACCCTGCTCCTAAAATGTTAACTGTGCTTCACAACAAAATATTTTACTGCGAAAAAATATTTAGCACCACACGCATCTGAAAATATCAAACGTCAAATAGCTTAACATTAACATTAATTCAAACAAACTCGAAACGACAAAGGAAATATAATCTGGTTCCATGTTACTTAAACATAGAGGAGGAGTTTTTCCAAGCAAGCAGATACACAACTTTCCAGTAATTTCATTGTAAATAATGAAAGTGACAGTAAGGCAAGATTAAATAACAACCTCTCAGTGTGAATTAAAAAAGGCTGATTATTATGGGGTACTATAATGGATGGGGATTTGAACCATTCAGCTGGGTTAATATTTGCTTGAACTCCAGACACATGTTAGCAAACAGGATCCAGCTAAATAACCCAGAAGAGGAGTCAGGCATATTCACTTGCTTTAGGAAGTGTGATTCACTGACGATTAATGGTCTAATCCTTGGTGCAGAGAAAGGGAAAGCTGCTTCTTTTTGTGATGACCATGATGTCATAAAAGGAAGGGGAGGGCAGGGTCATTTCTACACAAAATGCATTGTCAGCAGGTTTGGAAATGCATCCATTAATTATATTTGAAGTTAAATATTTTTACTGTAAAGATTTAGTTTAAAAGACAGTCAAAATAGGTCCGTAAGGGGGTTAAAGACTTTGAAATTTGATGGCTGTTGATGCTACACAGGCCAGTTTTTTTTTTTGTTTTTTGTTTTTTGTTTTCCAGGAATAGCTGACGTACTGGGATCTTCATACACAACAATCCCCAAGTTTTAGAGAGAGAAATTAAAATAAAAAAAAAGCTAAAATATATGTTGCAGTTTCTGTAGAAGAGCATTGTTGATGTCAGAAGTCAGACCAGAATGGCAAGCAGCAGTTTTTGTCTCGAGGGTCTTGATTTCAGCCGATACATTTATATGGTCGAGTTGGATTTTTGAATCGATGTGAAAAGTTGGATCCATCTTGTACACAATCAACAGTTGAGGCTGCATGTGGTGTAATATTGTGGGGGTTGTTTTCTTGAAATGAGCCAACATCTCAGAGGAACGGTTTCAGTATTTTATCGAAACTATGCCACAAAGTATGGCATAGGAGGTCCAACTCGTTAATAAAAGTAATAAAAGTACTCAGTGAATATCAGTAGTATAAATTTGCTATCAGAAAAGTAGCGGATGGTACATTTTTCAAATTGCTCAGTCATACGAAAAGTATCTGAAAAGTTGCCCTTTTTCCCATTAGGAAGGAAGAGCCCTCTGAGACTTTCAAGAAAGTACACATTTAGTTTTCATAATCTGAAAAGTGTTTTCTGAACTGCAACAAAGTAGGAATTGAAACTTTAATAAAAAAAATAAAAAATACTTTATAAACTATCATCCAAAACAAGGCCTCCCATGAACCTGAATAGGTAAGTTTCCACAAAGTTTTATTGATACTACTTCTCACCTTTGACGTGTTAAGAATAGAACAGTCCAATAGGCTTCAGTCATTAGAGGTTTCTTCAGAAGTGACCTTGACTAGTCAGTGATCACTGACTTTTAATGAAAGATAGAGGTTTATATTTGACTTTCATTGTAGTTGTCACTTTGGGTTCTCCCCATATTCAACAAACATTCAACTTGGTTAATTTGACTACTCACTCCATGGTGAGTTACTGAAACCACTATGTGTTGTACAGGTTGCTTTATGTATGCCACATAAAAGTGTAGAACATAACAAACTTTTTCTTTTACTTTTCCAAAGTTAGCCTTAAAATAATAAATTAAGTGAAGAGAAAAGAGACATCACAATGTATTGCTCTCAAAAGCTTCCCACCTGTGACAAAATGCCAGCTGGAATATCTATTTAAAATGTAAATTTTACAGCCACAACTAAATTCTGGATTGTAATTATGTTCCTTAGTGAGGAACGGAACAATTAGCTATGCAAAAGGAGGTCAGACGAAATGAGCTGAAACGGTTTTTCCTTGGCATACGAAAAATGTAGACGGTGTTCTGTGGCTCCCTAAAGGCACAGTGTGATAACTTATTTCGCAAAAAGAAGAAAATAGCATAAAAAAAAAACTCCTTATAAACTATTTCAGCAGCTAACCTTTAGAAATGTGCAAAAGTCACAACTTCTGGCCTTTAAAGTTGATGCCATTTTGGAATTTTTGAATCCTTGACGTAAAATTGTATTTTTTCTTTTTTTTCTTTTCTAGATTCAGTAAAGCCGTATTACACTCTCTGAAGTTAGACAGCCTAGTTTGAGTATGTGCATGACTGTTAATGAGTAACCGGAGCTTCCACGCCATTACTCTATGAGCTTTCAGTAAATGTATTTTTCTCCTGGATCCACGCTTCACACGTTCCCTTACTTCAGTCACTTATAGCTTTGCTTTCCTTTTCTGTGCACATTCAGTATTGTAATGGGGCTATAATGGAAAGCTCGTATTAAGCATCTTGTGACACAAGATGTGTGAATTCGATAAGTTTTCTGCTGTGCGTTCCAAACTTTTTAAAACAGTATGGTGACACACCATTTCCTCTGTTGCTATTCATGAGCAGTTTTGAATAGTTGCGTTGTACATCATATGTACTAGCAGGCAAACAGTATTGACTTGTACTCCTGAGGACAAGAGGCAGTTAAAAGCAAATGTGCTTTCGTTTTGACCCTAGGGTTAGTATTCCAGGACGATGACAAACGAAATGTGCAAACGACGCACTTTTACTGACAAACTGGGGAGACATTGAATCCGCCCTGAATCCTTCAGGGCTTTTGACAAAACATCAAGATAATATACTGATTTCTAATGATGAATGGGCCATGACTTTAATATCAAGGGTACTAGCTCAACGGAGTGACTGCCATACACACAGAGCTAGTTGTTGTGACCTTGGTCACACCAGCTGGTGGCCATGTCTTTGTCCGATAAGGTGTGTGCTTGCAAATGTGTGCATGCATTAATGCATTTGTGTGTGTGTGTGCGTGTATGCGTGTGTGTGTGTGTCTGCTCGTGTTTGTGCTCAGTTCTTGTCTCTGTGAATGTCACTGAAACCTGACCAACCACAGACAGTGAGAGAAAAAGGAGAAGTCTCCCAGGAAGAGCTGTTTATCTCTTTGGTAAGTGCACACAATACCGCCTTTCTCCTGGCTTTAATTGGTCTAAGTATCAAAAGATTGTTCTGTATGTATGGTATTTATCTATTTATTTATTTGTTTGTTGTTTTTTTAGGCACACTCCATTTTTTGTTTTGTAACAGCCAAAGCAAGAACAATGCATTTATTTTTATTCATGAAGCTACACACACACGACTGGTTTACATGACATGGGTAAATCAGATGTTTTGCACTCGATTTAGTTTTATGTAATTTACAGAAAAAGGTAGTTTTAGTAAAAAGCTAATTTTCTTAAAGTTGTAGTCATTTGAGCCAGGTCTTGTGCATACAGCAGTGGTGCCTAAAGTTGGTCCTGGAGGGCCGAGGCATCATGCATGTTTTAGTTCTCTCCCTGGTGGTATAACAATCTTTTCAGCATGTCAATGTTCTTCTTAGGCCTTATAAAGAACCATTATTGGATCCAGGTGCGTTAAACCAGGGAAAGAACTAAAACATGTAGGATGCCGGCCCTTGAAGACCAACTTTGGGCACCATACAGTAATGCCACTTTGCACTTGCAGATAACTTGTTCAAACACCAATACTAGCAAACACCAATGCTTTTGCAGGCTGGCCACTAAGAGATGGCCTGCAGGGAAGTTGCTGCTCACATCTGCTTCATCAGCCAGAGCATAAGAGGGGCCAGTTGCCAGTCCACCGGCGCCTAAGTGTTAGACTTACATAGTACTCTGTGCCTCCCCGTCTTTATTCCTTAACTTTATTATTATCTCCTAGATTCTGCTCCTTGTGTTGCCTTGGTTTCTCTTCAAGTTCTCAAAACTTTCTGCAAAGTTCTCTGGTTCAAACACATTATGCAGCAGACTTCCTCAAACTCTGTGCAAATCAATAAAAAAGACTGATTAATCAATAAATTCTATTAATTCTTTCAGTCGCCTCCTGAGATTGTTCTGTATGAGGGCCAAAAATATACCAAAAAAACGTGACTGTCATGGAAAGTAGCATTATCGTAGCCAATGTCTTCTAGCAGAAAAACATTCCATCTATGAAAAGACCAAAAAACAGAAATGCCAAGCAACATTGAAACAGTGAAATATTCGGGGAGTAACCAAAGAATGTCTGAGTGGTGAAAAGTGATCATTATGTGCTCCACCTTTTGTATAAAGCATCATTAATAATAATTTTGAGATCCAGGCAAGGTTACACAGCTGTGCGTGTACAAATGCTGCAGTGGCTGATGTAGTAAGAAGATACAGCTGATGGAATAACTTAGGGGGCGCAGTGAAGTCCAACTACAATTGAATGCTAAAAAAAATACGTACATTTTTCGCAGTCTTGATGCGTCCGCCAAGTTTGGTGAGTTTTTGAATATGATAAAGCTTCCCAAAAGCCAAATGATTTGTGCCTAGAAAAAGAAATAAAATAAAGAAACGCTTTGCTGCTCGGGCCTAAATACAAGCTAATATGGGGCTGTCAAAATCTCCAATTTGTT